CCTAAATGGGAAACTGAGGCACAAAGTTAAAGGGAGCGTACCTTCATTCTTTTCTGCTCATAACTTAAACATCTCGAGGGTGTGCATGCCTCTGAGTGGGCTGCAGAGGGTCCATATGGGGCCTCTCTACCCAGCACTCTTATCTCTGCTGAGGCCATTAGACAGCTCTGCAGTGACCTGCTTGCTCTTAATAGGCACAGTAGTTAAGGGGAACTGCACCCACATTGCTCAGGACCCCAGACCCACCAGGAGCCAGTGTATGGACCCACTAATCAGCACAGTTGCTGCAGGGTGGGACTGTGCGGAGAGACTCAAGTTAGAGACAGCATGAACTGGCACAGAGGATTTTAAGGGAAACTCCACCCCCCCAAGTGTCCCTGTGAAGGAAGTACTTGGGATTTCAGGCTGGGGGATGGAGCTGTCGGGATTTGCATACCAGTCTTTCTGCTTATAAGCTGTGAAACTTTGGCTACCTCTATGCCTCATTTTTCTCACATTTAGAAAAAATCCTCATGAATTTGTAAGAGAATTAAATACACCCATTCTTAAAGCACAGAAGGGTGTCCTGCATCTGCTGACCCTAGGCTGGACCTGGTGGTAAGAGGACTTGGCTTTGGATATTTAGTCTCCTCCCCAGCTCTCATTAGAGGCAGAGGAAGCCAGTCTGTGACCTTTCACTTAGAATCTTTGATAACTGACACATGGAAAGAGGAAACCATAGCAAAGGTAGAAATGACAACAACGTGAGCCCAAGTGACAACCATGTGTAAGCACCATGAGGGGGTGGGTGGAGCCACCAGGGTGAATGCAAGAGGAAAGAATCCAGAACTCACACTGTGGGGACCTGGCTCACCGCAGCCGCATACACTGTCACATGGCAGAGGCTTTGCAAACATGGGAGTCTCTGTGCTCTGAGTTTGGGCTTTGGTAATGACACAAAATGGTGTGCTTCCTGATGTTGCTCTGGTATTAAACTCCTGTGTAAATATTCGTTTCTCTGGTGGTATTTACCTGCTTTCCAAGGAACGGGGATCTGGGGAGAAGAGCAGGATTCAAGGGTCTCAGTTCTTTTCTGCTCATAGCTTAAAACATCTTGAAGCCCTCCATGCCTTTGGTGAGCTGCAGAGGTCCACGTGGGGCCACTCCAAACAGTAGACATTCCTAGCTCCCCTGAGGCTACAGGGAGGCACTGCAGTGACTCCACTTGCATTCACAAGTGACAAGGATGAGGCCACATTCAGGCTAGCTGTGAGAAGCACTGTAAGGTGAGATGTTGACATCTTTCTTCCTGTGCTTGTTTAAAAAGAGCCCATATGGTATAAACCAGCTTAATAGTGAATGTACTGGAGCAACAGAATGACCAGGGCTGAATAAATAGTGATCCCCACTGGCAATGAATGGCCRGGAGTGGCTCTGAGGCAAGAGCTCCTGGAGGGGACCAACTGTGGGTGACATCGAGTTAGCAGAACAAACCCCACAGGGGAACCTCCCTGCTTCTAGGTAGCTGAACTAGCGTCCCTAATACCCTGTCATTTCATTTCTTTTAATCAGGAAATTCTGTTCTCTGTTTGTTAAGGACTCATTAAAACCACAGCCTGCCACTCCCACACTGATGAAGTCCCACTAAATCTCAGGACATCCTTTTTTCATTGTTTGAGGTCCATGCCAGGGTGCCCTCCCTTGCTTCCCCTGTTCACCCCACCCTAATTCTGGATCCCAGCACCTCCTTAGCCACTATCTCCCCTTGTCCTCAGTCATTCATGCTGAATTAAGACTGTCTGCATAACCATCTCTCTTTGCTACCAATGCAGAGCCTTTGCAGGTAGGGGAAGTGTCTCTGTATTGCCCCAGCAGCCTGGCCCAAGGTCCAGATTAGAAAGGATAGCAACCAGGTGGGGTTGCAGTGCCCCTGTTACAGGACAGTGGTCTTTTCTGTTTTGACCTCTCAGAGAGTTAGATTTCCCTGCAAATAGATTTACAAGGCCTAGGAATTGCATGCTGAGAGGGTTAGCGGGAACCAGTAGGCACGCAGCTCTGGTTGTGTCTGTTGAGAAAGAGACTTGTTGTGCACAAGACTCTCAACTTTGAGTGAATGTTCTGGAGCAATCAGTGTGCTCTGAAAATGACTCCTAGATGTTGATTTCCTTTTGTGATAATAGGCAGGGGCCCTGGCAACAATGAACACGCAGCTCTAGAGGCCAGACGCTCAGGGAAGACTGATGTTGTCCTAGGTTTTTTTCCAATGTGGAGAGCTGTACTCACTGATTCTTGTCACGCTGTGTCTTCCTGGGGTGTGACAAGAAAGCTTCATTATATAGATGGGTGTTCTATTTTTGTAGCCTTTTGCTCTTTATAGTTCTGACTGTGGAGTAGTGAGAGTGAACCAAGCAACCTGGCTTAGAGGCATAAACAAAAGGGCWTGCTGTCCTTCTCCATGGGAAACAATGAGCACGTTGCTGGCTCCAGGAGGCTCTGGGGGGACTGAGACCAAGCATCCTTGGCCAGGGAGCAAGCTGGGTGCAAGCTGGGTGCCTATGCAAGGGACCTGGGGCTTTGTTCCCTGGAAGATGGGATACACGTTCTTTGTCATTGGAGTACTAGTTCTTTGGACTTTCCTGTTCCCAAACTAACTTGGTTTGAGGCCCATGCCCTCTCCAGCTACACCAGACCAGGGGAAAACCAACCAAACATAAAAGGCTTTCTCARAAATTTAAGAACCAGACTGAGAACAGATAGTCTCCCCTTTCAGACTCTGGGCAGGTGTGGCACCCCTTCTGGCTCCCTGATCACCCCAGCTTTTAGCAAGGTGTGGTTCTACCTGCAGGGAAGGACTGGGAGCCAGAGATCTTATCCAGCCTTGGTGGTTATTTTTACTTGTCACATTTGGTCTAAAAGTAACAGCTGCTTGCTTAGTTTGCTCTGGTTCTAATTAAGTTGGGGGAAACTCTTGGCCATGCTCTTGTATGGAAGAGACCCAGGCTGGACCTTTGGTGTGTCACTCTGTCTCTGCTTTGTTTGCATGTGGAAGCTCCTGGACTTGCTCCTGAGTGACTAAATTCTGCTCCTCGGCAGCATCTATTTCARCATCTCATGTTAAAGAAAACACTTAGTTTCCCTAAGCAACTCCTTMAGACCCTGTCTCTAAATAAAATACAAAAAAGGGCTGGAGATGGGGCTCAGTGGGTAAGCTCCTCTGGTTTCAATCCCTGGTACCAAAAAAGAAAAARCCATTTTACCCTCTAAACTGAGCCCTCTCGTTCTTTGATAGTGGGCAGTGTTTTGGGATGATGGGCCCTTTGAGAACCCATAGACAGGTGCAGCTTCAGGCTGCCCAGCCAGACCAGTGGGTTATGAAAACTCAGCTTTCATCTTAGGGAGTTGAGAAGGCAGCAGGAAATAACTGGGAAACACTTTTCTCTAAACACTATTTAGAGAAAGCAGTATCCTTTGATTGTCATGTGCACTTACACAGTGGACCTGAGGCTCTGGGTGGTAACACCCCAATTCTCAAAAGCACAGCCTTGATATACATGATTCAACAGTGTGGTTGGGTCATTAAAGGCCAGGTGAGGTTACAGTTTCAAGATTCCAGAGATATCTTCTCCAAAGAGTTCCTCCCCCTGCCTGGTGACCAGCATGTCCCTCTTCCTACCTGTAAATTACACAAGCATATTCCCCAGATAAATTTTGCAAGCATGTCATTTGTTCGCTGTTAAATAGATATGTCTGTCTTGACATCCTAACCTAAACCTTACRTGTATTCACAGTAGGTGGATGTTTATTACCTTTTCCCATCAACCTACTAGGGGTCATGAGTTACAGGGACACCAGGTCACCTTTGACATTTATATTCTGCCCTGAATCTGTGGTCCTATCTCCTTGGGATGTTCCTATAGTTATGAGGGCAGCAGGACTATAATTGGATGCATATGTGGCCCAGGCAGTGGGCTTCCTGTGAAAAGGTGCATACAAACTACTCCTAAGTCCACTTGTCTTTAGAGGCCATCTTCATTCAGGAAGACACTGGAGGTAGGATCTGGGCCTTACAGTAGTAAGGAGCCACACAGCAGGCCCTGAACAATGAAACTGTATACTGGGTGTAATTATTAATAGTGCCTCTTTTAACTTGGTTGCTCCAGTTAGGAGATAGAGTATCTGGTCACCATTATGCATGAGTAGCCTAGTGACATAGTCAGAACCATTTTATTCACACAAATTTGCAGGGGCCTTTGAACATACTGAAGATATGAAGGGAGGTGGGAAGTACATGTCAAGCTGCTCAGGATAGAAGCTGGTTATTTAAAGTGGGATGGAGATCTTGAATAAGTATGTTTCCATAGAAAAAAAGGCCAAAGGTGAAAGACAGCAAATTTAAAATTATCCTCAGGTTAGCATGCACAGTAAAGACGACTGCACACATTAGGAAATTCAGGGGAATGACTGGGTTAAAGAACTGATTTACCATGTTTATAAAAGTAACTTAATGTTCGTTTCTGATCGCTAGTATTAAGGCGGTTGGAGAGCACTGCCTTCCATTGAGGCTCTGAAGTGCCCTTCTATGCCCTATCAACTATCSGGGACAACCGACACTTCATCTCCTATCACCAAGCAGACATGGTTCCAAAGTGTACTAAAAAGCTTAAACATTAGAGGGGACGAAAGCAATAACCATAGTGCCCCATGAGAACAGATAAGTACCCTGCCGGACGTGTGAAGGTCCAGTGGCGGTACTAGGCGCCTACGTGGGCAGCAGTTCTGGCCGCCGGTCAGCAGGTTAATGACCTCGTGCCCGGCCCCTGGCTGTCGGCCCCTGGCTGTCCGTCCCCAGTGCTCAGCGCGGCTCAGTGGCAGTCCCCTCCCAGCAAGCGGACAGGGTCCCCTCTGGAACGGCGCGCGGACCCGGCAGCGGGACGCAGAAGCCGTGAGTCCAAGCTGGGCACCAGCCCGCGGAGCCTGCCTGACCGATCCGAACCGAGGCCCCGCTCCCGCGCCCCACTCACCCGCTTGCTGGGCGATGGCCCGCGCACTGGCCGCAGGCAGGCTGGCAGCTCCGGACCAGAAGAGCAGCGCTGCTCGCGGCGCGCACGCCGTCCCGGCCCTGTGTACACACGTGACCGTCTGCCCCGCCCCGAGCCCGGCCCTGCCTCTCGGCCCCTAGCAGCGCCGCAGAGAACCCGCCTCCCGGCCCCCAGTAGCTGCGCCGGGGCCCCTCTCCTGCCCTCCCCCGCGCCCCCGGCACTGCCGAGGCCCCGCCCCCAGCAGAGCTGCCCAGGCCCTGTCTGGTTCTCCCGCAGGTGAAGTAGGGGGTGATCCGCGCGCGTTGGCAGTGCACTCGAGACTCGCCCAGAGACGCAAACTGACGGCCTGTTCTGAGAGATTCCTGGAGACTTCTCTTGGTGCCCACTCAGTTCCTTTTAAAAGGTATTTTTGCCCAGATTTGCTGAGTCATAARATGCGCTAATCGGCAGGGAACAGACCCCGCCACCCTCTGAAGGAAATGAGTCAGTTGCAATCTGTCCCTTCCAGGTACACACGCCCCTCTTTCCCAGAGTTTGCTAGTTCGGAATTCATCCATTACTTCCCGGATTTAGGAGTTTCTTGATACACTGAGCTGGTCACTGGAAAGCCTTTTAAAGAGACAACACCTCCTTTGAAGCCTGAGCTACTGTTAAATGTTGGAAAAGTTGAAAAAATACATTATGATGAAATGGAGAAAAATTTTAAGTGCATTTACGAATATGTGAAACTGAACACCACTGTTATGCATAACCATAATGCACTAGAAATAACTGTGTATGAATTTTTAAAAGTAAAATAGATGAAAACAATCTCCAAGCCTTTAAATAAATAAATAAATATATATATATATATATATATATATATATATATATATATATATACACACATACACACACACACACACTCATTCATTTACTTGGCTGTAATTTTTGTAGTGAATTGTACCATAGCAGCATGTTCTGGTCCAGGATGCAAAAGGATTTCTTTTAAAAAATCGAAGCCTACAAGTTGAAGATTTTGAGGTAGACTTGCTATGTCGCCAGGGGTTGAATGGAACACATAATGAGAACAGCCACAAGGCTGGCCCAGTATTTAAACCTGAGCACCTTACTTGGCCAAGGTCAGCAAGGGAGGCTGAGGTCTGCTTGAGGTTTAGGAGCAGAAAGGCATTTCCCAAACATAAGCCCCATACCAGGCTCTATAGCAGGAACCACATTTGCCCCAGAGCACTAGGTGCTGCTCTTGCCAAGATCAGTTAAAATTACCTATCAGTGACACCTGAGGCTCGTTTTGAGTCAGCTTTTGTTTTCTGCCTCAGACAACCTTTTGAGGTACATAGTTCTACATTTTATCAAATCTAAGATACCACTAATGTTATATGCACCATTATTTTATGGATTACTTTTTTTAAAAATCCCCATCCTGCCAGTTAAATTCTGACACACTGTCAATTTTAAAAAACATCATGGTTTTTGAGATGCTGAGAGAGAAAATGTGCCTTAGCATTGATGGAATACAGTATTATTGTCATCCTCATTTTACATTTAATTGAGGACACTCAAACAACTTGCCCAAGTTCATGCAACAGGTAATGGAGCCAGGGTTGAGCCCAGGTGGTCTTTGGCTTTCAAGATTAGGTTTGAGACCTGGGGTCCTTCTAGCAATCTGCCCAAGAGTAGCCTTGTTATTTCCAGTGTATAAACAGCCTGAGGCCTTTGGAGTCCTGGTCAGAAACCGGGCTGTATTGCCCATCCCTGGAATGCCATAGGATGTGGCTGGGTAAGTGTGCAGCTGTCGAGTGCTGCAGGTTACTTGGGCCAAGCCGCCCACAGGCTGCCTTGTCTGTGACACCGGCAAACCAGCCAGGGATGGGAGCAGAAAGTCAGTAGTGGACTAGGGAAATCTTCAAAGTATGCCCCTTCCAGCTGAGCCCAGGAAAGCACCTTCCAACCAGGACAGAAATATTCCAGAGGCCAGCAGCCTTCACTGTGCTGCTGGCAGTGCCCCCCACTGCAGGCCAGTTTCCACAGGAGACTTGTCCTGAGGGWCAAGGACAGAGATGGGTATAGGAAGTGTGTCTGGACCTGACTCTTGGTTCCAGCTGCATCCTACCCTGCCTATGGCCKCCTCTCTCCATCATCTCCTGGTCTGTGAGCCAGAGAGGACCTCTGCTTCCCAGCAGGCCAGGACCCCAAGGGATACTCTCATTGATGGCCAGGCTTGGTGGCAAAGGGAAGTGAAGCTGTCTCCAGCCCAGGGCATCTGGGGTTCTCTAGGTCCCACCTGCCAGCTGCTCCCTGTGCATTAGCTCCAACAGATCCACAAGGGTCACCTTCACCTACATGAGCTCACCCTGTCACTCATAGCCACTCTACTTCCGCAAGTAGTAGGGATCAGTTTAGCTGAAAGTCATGCCAAGAAGGGAAAAGGCACAGGTTAGTGGACACTGCATGTGCTAATGAGAAACACCAGGGCTGGGACTGCCCATTGTGCAGCCTGAATCTTGTACTAGGAGAAGGCTGGGACCTTGGATGCCATTGTCAGTGCTGGGGAAAACAGCTGCTTGGAAAACTGCTCCTGTCTGCAGTGTCAGTTGGGGTGAGAGGGATGTGGCATGGGGGTGTTGTACAGATTTGTATCTCTTGGTGGGGATGATCTCACTGAATCGTGGGTTAGCCCCAGGATGTTACTGAACTTCCTTGTGACGCCAGCTGTTAAGCCCCGTTGCCTTTTGCATCTAAGAGATAGAATTGATGACAACACCAACAGTTCTCTAGCCCCTTGCCCTTTGCTGTTCTCCAAGGTTGGAGGGTGAGTCAGGCTTCCCAGAGAACACATTGCTCAGGGTTCAGGCTTCCCTGCTTTCCCTAAAACAATCTGGGCACCCTCCACTGCACTTCCTCTCACACATGCAGATGGCAGTGTGATTCTGTACACTGAGGTAGAATTCCCAGTAGCTACAAGAATCACTCAGCGAGGTCAGGCTCACCAGAGATGCACAAGTTCCTGGACCAAGGCAGAGGGAGACAGTGCATGCCCTTCTGGGCAGAGTCAGGGTGCTTTGGTATGACCCATCACCAGGATCTTGCACCCACCAGGGGAGGCTCTATCAGCTCTATTTGGCAGGAAGGGAAACCCTGACTTTGGAGGGTCCCCTTGCTCCCGCTAGGACCTGCTTGGAAAGAAGCCCACACACTCTACTTCTGTGCATGAAGATCAAAGAAGGAGCAAGAGAGCATGTGCTTCCTGGTGCCACAGGACACCATGCAGATCCCAGCATAGCCCTGGGATGCCCAAGTTCTTGGTTCTGTGACCTGAAAACTAGCCACTGGGTAGGAGCTGAGGGTGGGCTGCCATGCCTGACCTGGCAGCAGGGAGCTTGCTTCCCCTTCCAGATATGTGGGTCAACCCCAAGCCCAGCCAACGGATGGACAGGTGGCCAGAACCATCCTGTGGGCTGTCCTGGCACTTAATGTCCTTATGTGCTTCCAAAGCCAGTGCCTCGGTGGCTAGTTTACACCACCACCACCCCCAACCCTGTGATTCAGCGGACACATCACAGCCAGTCCTGAAGAGGAAGATAGAAGATTACTGGGAAACTAGAGTTTTTATTCTAGGGGTATCTTTTCTCCTTCCAGACCTTTAGTCAAAATTAAAAACAGAATGCCTGAAGTGCTTCCTTCCTGGGRGTCCACGAGGGGAGAGCTACGAGCACCCCTGGTTCCTGGTACTGCACCTGCTCATCTTCAAGCCTGCCCTCCCTGCCCATTAAGACGTGGGCTCCTGGCCCTGGCCCAGGAGCCCAGACCTCTGACACTAGAAGGGCAGCTGTCTCCACTGGTGGCCTAGACCAGCAGGTGCAGAAGAGGGCTTCTGTCCAGAGAGGCCTTCAGATGGTGAGGTTTTTGTCCTCCCACYCCCTCTTCTCCTTTTTGTACTGGGGGTTGAACTCAGGGCACTCTACCACTGAGCCACATCCCTAGCCCTTTTAATTTTAGACAGAATCTCACTAAGTTTCCCAGGCTGGTATCAAACATGGGATCCTCTTGCCTCAGCCTCCCAAGTTGCTGGGATTACGGGCATGTGCYACTGTACTCAGCTCTTTTATCATTTTTTGAAAGTTATAGATTCTCAGGAGGTTAGAAAAATAGCAGAGTCGTCCCTGTTCCCTTCACCCACCTTCCCAGTGGCTCAGTGTTAACACAGCTCTAGCTCATTTTCTACACCAGGATCCTGTCACTGCACTGTGTGCGCTCTGGGCCCTTCATCCTTGTGCAGGCTCCCATTGGCTCCATGAGAGCGGGTGCAGGGCCGCCTAGCACCACAGATCTTATCGACCACACTGTTCAGCTGTGGCCACCTGCCTCCTGGCAGCCCTCATCTGCTCCCCATCTCTGTATTGTGTCACCTCGAGAATGTCTTATGCCTTAGGAATGGAATCAGWGTGTGGCCTTTGAGACTGACTTTCTTATGACTTTACATATAATGCCCTGAGGTCGCCCAGCTGCTGTGGTCTCAGCAGTTGTTCCTTCCTGTTGCCAAGTAAAACCCCTGGTGTGGAGGTGCCATGTTTTAACCACTCATCAACTGAAGGTCATTTTTTTGATGTATCCTTTTTGGTTGCTACAAATAAAGCTGCCATAAGCAATTATGTCYTGGATTTTGTGTGGACATTAAGTTTTCGTTTCCTCATTGCTGCATGATCTGGTATTTCATGTTAGATTTTAATAATTGCTGAGCTGTTTTGCTGGTCGCTGTGTCCCTTTATATTTCTACCAGCAGTGGATGTGAGGTCCGGTCTCCCACATCTTCGGGTTGTCATTGTCGTAGTTGTTCTGAAAGTTTGCGGCAGTATCTCTGTAGGGTCAGTCTTTGCTTGTCCCTCGTGGCTGTGATGTTGAATTCCGTTCTGTCTGCTTATGTGCCATCTGAATGTCCTCTTCAGAGAAATGTCTTTTTCTCATTTTCTACTTGTTTACATATTCTAGACAGGAGACTCCTGCTACGATACAGTTTCTAAAAATTCTGTCCCCCTTCATAGCTTGTCTTTGACATCCTTTTGAGTTCTTTTGCAGAGCAA